TCTATTGTGCTAGTTCATTCCAGATGTGTTGAGAATCAGTGCTATGGCAGCATATTGTAGCTGGGGCTGGAGGATAATGGCCCAGCATGGAGTGGGAGCACATTTCAGGATATTTTAGTTTACAGAAAAGTCTGGGTTCACAAGAAGGAAGGGGAAACTAACTTGCACATTTTTAGTTTACAACAAAATTTAACAAAGAAGTAGGGATAAGTTGCTTTAGCAGAATTTTTTCCTATTGTGATACTAAAACTACTAAAGTATATTGATTTATAATGATATAGGTTATTATTCACAACATTGTTTCACTCTTAACCATTAAACATTGTGACTCTTAATTGTAATAAATAATCTGTTAGATTTGGCTTCCTTGCCTACTGAGTAGTCTTATTAAAATACTCCCACATAGGAAATATTTTCTTTTAGTTTGCACTCTTGTCAATTTGTGTGATTAAGTGTGGGAATACAGAAGCATGGACGCTGGACAGTATTGCCTTCTGTCTTTCTTCCCTGAGCTTTTCCTTCCTGCTTTGCTCTGCCTTGCCCTGGCTTCAACCTCACCAAAGGAAAAAGAGCACTCAAAAGTGAAATGCCCTTGACTGGCAGGTTGAAACGGGGCTGATACTTACAGGGTAGGCTGTGGCAGTTCCTTTTCACTGCATGATAACGAAATGGCTATATTTAGTGGATGCCTTTTAAATGTTTCTGATACCAATATATATATATATTTATTACATCATTTTGAAGCCACATTTTAACACCTATACCAGGCTGTTGCATAAATAAGTTAAATGAAACTAGGCCAATGGAGGTCCAGCCATGGCACCAAAACAAAGAAAAGCAGAAGAATTAGCAATGATGTCTGAGATAGCTACATCTTAAGCATTAGACTTACTGCAAAGTAGATTTAAAATCGGTTTTGAACTGGTGGCACAGTGATTGAAATATTGGTGCCATTCATAGCTTCATGAGGAGGTTGCGTCATGTTTGAGGGTGCAACAAATGAAAAATTCCTTGATGTGTACCCCAAAACTGCTTAGAGAACAGCCTTCCTCTATGACTTCATGTCATGGGCAGATTAATATCAGGTGAGGTGATCCTACAGATATTTCGGTGTCATACTTTTTAGGGTGTTGGAAGTTAAGCACTCACATTTTGACTGGGTTAGCAAATAGCTAGCCAGCATAATTCCCTCTGGCTGGATAGCTCAGTAAATTAGGTGTGTGGCTGGGGAGTCAGAGATTAGAAATTCAATTCCCACTGTGCCTTCTGTGATAATAGTCAGCCTATGTGGCCTTGGGCAAGCTGTACAGTCCCATGATTCCTCCAGAAGAAGGGAACAGTACACTACTTCTGAATACTTTCTACTTGGAAACCCCTGAAAATGGTTGCTAGAAGTCATAACTGACTTGACACCACACAGTTATTAATCATTGCTGCCTTTAATTTTTATGTAATAGGATTTTACCTGGCTGTGCCATATAGGTCACATGAGGTTCCAATCTTCTCCACCATAAAAGTGAGAGATGTGTACCTGCTTCTCCTTCTCCTTCTCCTTCTCTTCACAGCTACAGCAAGCATGTGAGGTAATTACCCAGAGACTTTCACTCCCAAGGGGAGAATTTAATGCTGATCCCAGCACTGTAACCACCACATTACGATAGTTCTACAGTATTTTGTAAAGAATCAAATCTTTAAAAATTCTAAATGGATTGCACTTTTTAAATGAACTGGCTGCCATAAGATGTAGTGATGCCCAGTAATTGATTTCAGAACATGAGACTGATGAATGGGGGGCATTTGTCTGTTGCTATTATCCACTATCGGTGATGAAACCTCCACTTTCATAGGCAGTATACCATTGAAAATCCGCAAGGGGGAGAGTGTTGGAGGGCTATAACTTCTGTGTCCTTCCTATGGGCTCCCCATTGAGGCATTTGTGTGTAGCCACTATATGAACAGAAGACTGGGCTAAAAACGACAGCAGGGGGCTCATCCAATTTCATGACTGCCTTTAAAAGGTGGTGGAAATGGGTGGCAGATTTGACCTATCAGTGGGCGTCAGGCATAATACTGAAAGGGCAGGATGTATGTTTGTATAATTTGTTAGTTCAATGTATACCTAGACTTTGTTCTAGTGAACTCAAGGCAGCATTCGTGTCTCCTCCTTTGCTGTGCTTTAGCATCAGTAAAGCTAGGAGGAAAGGCCAGACGGAGAGAGAATGACTGACCCAAGGTGCCTCATAATTGCCATGACTCATTGGAGACTTAAGTCTGTATTCCTTCAGTCCCAAATGTAATCCCTCCATGTGTCAAATATTGTGCCCAGCTGGTTCTGCCAAGTGAAACCACTCAGTATTTAGCTGCCCGTTGCAGAAGGCAGAATGCTGCACCACATGAATGTTGGGGTCTGCCACAGCACTTATTACATCCCTGGGAAGTGAAGGTGGTAGGGCCTCTAGTCTGTGGGTGACCCAAGCCCTTGCTCAGCTGTGCAGTTTTGGTAGCAAATGAAACAAAGGCATTGCAATCTCTGGGATGGACCTCATCCTGTTTTCGTTGTGAAAAGGAGTCTCCTCTTTACCTTTTCACTAAATGATATAACTTAAAGTGACTGGGAATTTTAAACATACATTTTGCATTCTTGTAGTTTATATAAGCGCTTCTTTCGAAGCTACATCCGTGTTGATCTAAGCTTCAAGCCGAAAGATCAGGAAAGTGTTGGAGGTAAGGATCAGTTTTGTGAAATGGCTGAGAATATATTTCTTTTTAAAAAAATGAAGTGATGGGTTTCCCATTTTGTTCCCATTCTGGGCAAGCAGAGTAAAGAACAGATCTTGCAGTCACCAACAGACAGGATGATGATAGTGTGATTTTTATTGGAAATCTTCCCCCAGTTTCCTTCCCACTGCTATAATCATCCCCCTCCATGTGCCAAAATGTGTTGTTCTGTCTCTTAGATCTTTGTTACAGGGCTTTTAATTGCAAGTGGCACATGCTTCCCTGGAAATGGGCATTAAAATGCAAAAAAGCTGTTCGCCTACTGAAAGAGGGACAAAAGAGGGTTTAGAGAAAATGGGCCTCTTGATCTCAGAGAGAAACAACCTTCATGCTGGGATCACAGGACAGTTAGAAGGACAATGAAGGGGTGGCCCTAGCAGGAGAGAGGCTTTGGGCTGTGCAGGATGGGAAGGAGATGAAGGGAGCAGAGGGGGTGGGGCAGAGACTTTCAATTAAGACATTAACCCCAGTGGTCAAAGAGGGTTCCTTAGTTGTCTACAGTGCAGGGGGGGGGATGTCCAGTCCTGAGGGTTCTGCATTTGTTCTAGGAGGTGGAGGCTTCAATCAAAAGGATTTGTACTTAGCTGTACCCTCAGCAGAGCCTCTCCAGTCCCCTCCCCTCTGTTTTTCCTCCTAGAGTGCCAGAATTGCTGCCTATCTTTGTACCTTTCTTCCTGTTCTATCCACCCTCACTTTCCAATTTTTAGATGTTTCTTGCAAAGAAGGTGATCATAGTTTAGTGGTAGATCACATGCTCCTGTTGGGTGCAGTTAAACAAACAAAGAGAGGCCTTCTCTGTCTCCAAGACTCTGAAGAGCTGCTGCCAGTCAGAGCAAGCATCAACATCACAAAGGTAGCTGAAGCCTTGCTGTCTTGGCTGACCAGATGTTCTCCTTATCCCAAGCAGGCCAAAGGGACTGCTTGTAATTTGCAAACATCAGTTTTAATTTCCTTCACCCTCAAAATGTGCACTTCCCAGTGAACATACCACCAGTTCATGGATAAACCACCTTAGAAATCTGAACCAACAAGCTGAGGACCTGCTCTGCAGCCTTGTCTTAGTCAAGAGCCCAAGCTGAGGCTTGTTCCTGTTCGGCAACAAAGACCAGGGACGCTACTTGATAGTTTGCCTTGCTGTTGTGCTCCTCTACAGAGAGACTGAGAACTAATTTGTAGCTTGGCTTTTTGAGCTGCATCCACATCTCTCTTTATCAGACTTGCCATCTTTTTCCCTTCTGGGGCTGGCATTCACTATGGAATTAAAATGTTAACATTGTTGTGCAACCTTTAGAAGACAGGCATTATCATGCAGGGGAGGAGGAGTAACTACTTTAAAATGACTATTAGGCACTTAACAGATAGACTCATTGAGTTAACCTACAGGGACTGTAGTCCACATAATATTGACTGTAGTCAGTACAATGGGCAGAGATGGAAGAGGCAAGAGGGTGTTTTTGCATTCCCTTGATTCGAAAGTTCCTACATCCACCCTGTTGTAAGATGGCATACTGGGGAGAAAGAAGATTCCAGTCAACGTAGTTTCCAGGGTGCAGAGATGTAATAATCCAGTGCTCTTGGAGATGGGATTCCCATGCTACCTCCTGAAGTGCCTCAGTCCCTGGAAGGTGTGTCCTTCATACTGTTTCTTAACATCTGTTCTAATTCTTCCTCCTTTTTCTTTACAATCCCACCAATCAAGGAAAGTGCACATTGCTAGCTAAATCATTTGACAATAATGCAAAGCAGACTCACAAGAGCATGGCATGGAGGCAAGCAAGACATTGCTGGAAATGAGGAGGAGTGCTGCTGGGGAAGTTTTTTAAAGCAAGAAAAATTATGCTTATAAGTCATCTCCTCAAGTCCAGGTGGAGTCTTGCCTATTTCTATAGCTCGTAGACTGTAAGGCTAAAGGACTAAAAGAGCAATGCAGCAGAAGCAGGTCCCTTTGAAATCCAGCTAGATGAAATGCTCTGACCATATCTTGTGGAAACAAGAGTTCATAAAATTAATCATGTACTGGGTTCCAAAGCCCTATCTTGTGTCTGACATCCTTAATTCTAGCTCCTTTATTTCCACTTGTCTCCTGCCTGAACTGGAGGAAGCCACAAAGACCAGACCTTTCTGATTCTGGTTGTGAGGCTTGGTAATGCTCAGTAGGTGGATTCTTAAGGAAAACAAAGTCTTTTCAACATGTATAAACATACACTGTAGGAACAATAACAAAGGAAAAAACACTTTTTTAATTAAAGCTGGAGAATATTCACACACACACACACACAAGTAAACTTCACATGTATAAATGGTGCATGATTATCCTTATTAGCAACATACTGTATCTGCTTTTAAATCAATAAATATAAAAAATAAATTAACATATTTTAAAAAGGGAAAGTAATAATAATGAACGGAAAATAATTGACAGTAAAAGTCATGAGTGCATTTCAGGGATGGGCTAAAAAAAATGGAATAAAGGCAGGCAGGCATGAAATAACTCTTTGGAGAGTCATAGTTGGTTATCCTTGGAAAAAACACTTCAAAGCTGAAACTCAAATGTTACAAGAACAGTCTGTCTAAGGCCTTATTCTTCATTCAACCTGGTTTGGCTTCTTAAAAAGTGAGAAGGTTGAAGGAAAAGTCCTTTAGTGCTTGAACAAAAAAGGGGAAATCAAGAATGTGCAGAAGCTGAAACAGCCGAGGTTTGCTTTTAAAGACAAGCTGTGTTTATAAAAGAGTCCTCTCTCTTCCATCTCTGCAACAGAGAAAACATGTCTATAAGAAAAAAACATTTTTTCAGGCTTCTGAATGTGGAAAAGAGTAGGCTGTTGGAACAGTAAAGCGGGTTTGGACATACTGACAATGGAACAAACAGCTCTCTGGTACAGTACTTTGGTTGGTCTTGTGCAGGACTGTAAGTAGGAGAAAGTGAACTGGCAGAAAGCGTGGCAATGCTCTTCTGGTAGCCCCAGGAACTATTGAAGCTAGAGACACGGCAGAATGAATGAAATGTGGCTTTTGGCACTTCTGCTTGGCAGTGTGAAGCTAGAATGTGCGGCAGAGCCTGACGCCTCATCCTGGAGCCTTCCAATACCACAGAATAATGCTTGCAGACGTCAGCAGGCATATGAAATAAGAGGCCAAGCAATAAATATTAAGGGATGCTGAGGAAACTCAGAAGAAAACAGACGTCCGCTTCGTTCTTTGTAAGTTGGCATCCTTTGCAAGAGGTCACTTGGATTCTTCATTTCAAGTATGTGCCAGGAATTATGTTTGCCAAATTGTCCTTGGCTTGACCACTGAGTAGCTAAATCAGGCAACAGAGCTACTACAAGTGAAGGGTAAGATTTGCCCAGTTCAAATTGGAATGCCAGTGGTGCTGACCTGTTCCTTCAATCCCATCAGGCTGTAGGCAATGCGCTTCTGGTGTCCTGGTAGACGTACTCCAATTCTTTTAATATCACTGGAAATGGAGAGAAAAGGGAGAGCTAATGAGATTGGTGACAATATTGTGATATGCAGGATGAGGGTAGAGGTAAGCAAATGATCTCTATTAATTTAAATATCTGTCTTCTCTGCTGCCTCCAATATTTATCTTGACATTTGCTGTCTCCATACGTCATATAGCAGCATCAAGGAATTTCCAAGGCCAGATTCATATGAAAAAGGTTAAGCAGCATTAGGACCTCCTGCAGGGATTTCAAGAGAAAGGTGTGCCTAATCATCTGCATTTTGCTATAGATTATCTTCCGTGAAGTCCATGTACAATTAAAGAGCATGAGCTTCTGTCTCAAAGGTGGAACCAAGAAGAGCCTCTCTCTTTAAAACGGATGGTGAAGAGGTCATGTTGGATCATAATATTCTCAGTGACTCTAGAACATCCTTTTAAAATAAAACCATGGAATCCAGCTATTTCCTCTGTCAGGAGAACAGATACGTCTTTTAAAGAAAAAGCACTTTGCCTCCCCCCACCAGAAAAAAAAGAAAAAAATCTTATTTAGCTGCTACTTAGGTAAAGCAGGATGGAGAAAGTGAAAATTGCCATGGGCACTATTTGTGAAGACAAACTCACTCATTGGACATCTGCACCACCTTCTCAATGACATTATACCCCGCAGCTGTGAAGTGCTCCGTATACTGGTGCATTTTGATGGATTCCAACCACTCGCCCACAGTTCGGAAAGGGATCCCTTCTGAGCCGCTGGTGCTGGGTAGGCGGATGGAGATCCTTCAGAGGGGGGAAAAAAGAGCCACACCCCACTGTTTAGATTTAGCTCCTTTCTATGGTGTGGAGGGCAGGCATTTGGCAAAAATTTGAGGGGAATAATTAGCAAAGAAGGGCAAAATCAATTTCCAAATGAAGGAACTGGAAAAGAAAGTGGATATTTGGAAAGGAAGTAGCTCTGCTCAGACTGATACCTACCGAGGATCGAACTCTGCCAATGTCTTGAGCGATTCAGGGGCACGGATAAGCTTGTCCAAGATGCTCACAATATCGGTGAACTTGGGCCGATGGCTTCTGTCTTGTTGCCAGCATCGCATCATCAACTGGTAGATGGCAGAAGGGCAGTCCAAGGGTGCAGGAAGCCGAAAGCCTTCGTTTATTGCTTTCATCACCTGTTTGTGAACAAGAAGAGTAGAAGATTGAACAACAGTAAATCGATTCAGCTTATGTCAGTCTGGAAGGAGTACTAATTGGTCAGCCTATCACAAGAAGCTGTATCAGAGACAGATATTGCAGGACAGATAACTTATCTTTAATCTTGTCTAAGACAATCACTTCCGTTCATGGATGCATACCTAAAACTAGTAAGAGGATTTGGAACCTTAAAGCACTACTTTTTGGAAGGTTAGATCCGTTCTAATTCTAGATTCCTTGCAGGATCACTCATGGTGGCATGGTCAAAGATGAAACACGAGAATAAGATGTACCCATCTTCTTTAGCAGCAAAGAATTAATAGTTCTAGTAGTGATGGGTGAGGAGAAACTCTGAGCGATCTGTCAACCTAACATAGAAAGCAGATACAGTGGTGCCTCGCTTAACGAGCGCACCGTATAACGATGAAATCACATAGCGATCCGTTTTTTCGGATCGCTAATGCGATCGCTCAACGTTTTTTTAATGGGGAAAAATTCGCTTTGCGAAGACTGGTAAGCGTTTCGCTTACCGATCTTCGCAAAACGAACCCCGATGATCAGCTGTTCGGCTGCCAAAATGGCCGCCGGAAGCCGGGAAATGGCCCAAAATGGCTGCGCGCAGCGTTTTCGCGCCCTCGTTAAGCGAGGCGAGGGCGCAAAAATGGCTGCCGGCCATCCTGAAGCTTCGCTGAACGGTGAGTATTTGGCCTATTTGGAACGCATTAAACGATGTTTAATGCGTTCCAATGGAAATCGCTGCCCCGTTCATGCGAGGCACCACTGTACTGGGTTGCAGCGAAAGAGGAAGGTAACACTGCAGGAGGATATTTTACAGACAGTGGCAGCGATGCTCAAGCTGTCTTGTTATTAGTGAGCAGAAATCAGGATTCACATCTGAATATTTATACTTTGAAAACTATGATAAGGTGACCCAAAATGAAATGAGAGACAATGTTGGAAGGCACTCCAACATTTAGTCAGCTACTAAAGAAGAACAAAGGCAATTATGATAGCACTGTCATAAATGAAGCCACTGGATTAAATCAGAAATAACACCTAGTTGTGATGTATTGTGCTCTATGACACATAATTGGGACAAAGAATGTGAGAAGTACAAGTCAAAGTAAGTTTGAAATGGGAAATCAAGAAATAGAAAATTTTAAATATGATAGTACTTGGAGTGAGAGAACTAATAGAGACTGGAAGAACTAGAAGAGATGTGAGGATGACAGTTAGATTTTTTTTGTGCCTTCATCCAGTATCAATCAAGAACCTCAGCCAGGAAAGAAAAAGAAAGTTGAAGGTTATGAATGAACTAGAAAATATTATTAAATGTAGGGATGTATCTCTGGAAACCAAACCAAGATCATTAGTACTATAGTAATTCTTAATTAGTATGTACAGTTGTGAAAGCTGAACAATGGAGAAAGCTGACAGGAGATAAATATTTTTTTAAAAAAATGGATGTGGAGAACTTTAAAGATACAATGGAGTGGCAGAAAGACAAATAATAAAATCAAGTGTAAACTCAGAAGTTCAAAAGAAGTGTTTACATAAAATGGATTAATCCATTAAAGGAAGCCACAGCCATTAGTATGCAAGACTTGAGCAGAACTCCTTATGAGATGACCTGGAGGTGACTTGGTAACACATAATGACAACATTAGCATTCTCCATTTCTTTGCATGTAAGATTCAATCAAGATTCATGGATGACTCATTCTTGACTGGTCAGAAAGAATAACGGATAGGTACAGTTCACATCACAAAGCCCGTCACCAGGACTAATGGAAGTTAAAGAAAATATTCACACTGGTATGTTAGAATGCAAAGCTTTCATCAAGAATTGAAAGTGAGATTGTCAAATGGATTAGGTGACTGAAACTATTTTCTCCCTGAAAGTGGGAATAAGGAATCCACCAACATTCCCAATGAGGACATCACTGATGCCTAAGCTAACATCCACAAAGGAACATCCAAGGCCTCACCTCATGATTGGAAAGCTCCCAGTAAGGTCGTTCACCATTCGACATCACCTCCCACATAACGATTCCATAACTCCAGACATCGCTGGCTGAAGTAAACTTGCGATGAGAGATAGCCTCAGGAGCTGTCCATCGGATAGGGATTTTCCCACCCTGGGAGGGGAAAGAAGGAAATGAGTATCCAGACCTTTGTTTCAAAAAATGCACTCTGATGTACAAGAGAGAAGACCAATCAAATTCCCTGGCTCTCCAAGTGTATTTTTACTTTTGTGTAATGGCCTATAAGGAGGCTGTGTCTAAACCAGACTTAGTCAAATCATGGATGCCAATGACTAGGAGTTTGACCTCTTAGGACAGAAACCACAGCCATCCATCTTAGAAGGCCTGGGGATTGTTCCTTCTTTCCTTTGTTTCTCTTCCTTCAGATGTTTTTCAAGCCTTGCTTGGTTCTTCTCAGGTCCCCATTGTGCCTGGATCTCAACCAGAATTCCTACCAATGGAGAATGTGCAGCAATGCACAGTTATGCCATTGATCACGTGTTACCAACAATTTCCTCTGTCTGGACTCCTGAATTCCACACTTGCTTCTGGATTCTCTGTTTCTAATACCTCCTCCAGATGCCAATAATGTATGTAATTTAGTCAGCTTTTTATCCCATTCCCTACAATATTCATAGCAAAAATGGATCCCCTCTCTTCACTGGGAATACTGAGAAATAGTCAGAACTGAAGATGATGGCCAGCATGCTGGTAGTACTCACACTTGTGGTGTAAGTGGCATCAGGATCATCCTCCAGGACACGAGAAAGGCCGAAGTCAGAGACTTTACAGACCAGCTGGCTGTCAACAAGAATATTGCGAGCAGCCAAATCGCGGTGGACATAGTTCATGCTGGCCAAATACTTCATACCAGAGGCGATGCCCCTCAACATGCCTACCAGCTGGATAACACAGAATTCCCCATCCTTTTCCTGTTAAGAAAAGAAGGAAGCAATTCAGGACCACATATGTGAGCTAAACAACTAATGACAGGCTTTTAAAACAGAAGATCAATTATGGTACAGAATAAGCTTCTTATCCCCCTCTGAAGGGAAATTCTAGGGGGAAATCTGCAAGCTTCTGTCAAGAGTGCTTAGGAAGTTGAGACCAGCCAATCTGCTGTATGCATTTCAGGCCTCTCACTGTATGCATGAGCAGAGGGCTGACAAAGAGAAAATCTTGGACCTACCCGTAGGAATTTATCCAGAGCACCATTCTCCATGTATTCTGTGATGATCATAAAAGGCTTATCTGGAAAGAAAAAGAAGAAGAAACAATCCATAAAATCAGACCCTTGCTGTAGTTCTTCAAGAGCGGGCATTTTAGAATCAGTTGTCTCATGGAATTCTGACTACAGGTTCTTACATTTTGATATTACTCCCTCCAAGTGGATAATGTTGTGATGGCAAAACTGGCCCATAATGGTTGCTTCACTCAGGAAGTCTATGCGTTGCTTCTCTGTGTAGCCAGATTTTAGTGTCTTGATGGCCACTGGGATCTCCTTCTTGCCACTTTTTAGGGTCCCCTTATAGACTTCTCCAAATTCACCTGGTAGGAGGAAAGCAGGGAGAGTTAAACAACTCTTTTCAGTCAAGGATAGAAGTTTCGGGATGGGGGGGCATCAACCCAAAGGCTCAAGACAGTATTCAGCTTTCACTCACCTTTTTGAGCTAGTCACAACTGGACCAAGAGAATAGAACCCTCCACACACATTAATTAAGTGTGAGCTTATTGTGATATATCTTACCTGCCCCAATGACTTTCTGCCGTGAAATGCAGGAAGGATGAATCTCAGTGGTGAACTTCAGCACAGCCTGATTTGGGTCCTCATATGTGTGGGGATCCACATAGGTTTTCAGGGGCTTGAGCTGATCTGGGGTGAAAAGATAAAGAGGATCTCCTCAGCAAGGAGAACTCTTCCCTTCAAGGACAGAAGTTGTAGAAAAGTTGAACCAACACTAGGCTCTCATACCAAGTATCACCACTTATTCCTTTCCTTCCTGGCTCCATATATGGGGCAGAATACCAAGGGCAAGGAAGAATGCTCAGTTAAGTTTACTTCCAATTAACAGTGAATGCTCATCCTCAGGGTCTAAGTTGGCCACCACATTGTGGCTCTGGAGCCTTTCCTGTTCTTTGTAATGTTCAATTTTTTGGAAATGTTGCTTATGCATCAAGTGCACTGATCTAGGCTGGAATTATTACTTACCAGACTTAGAGAAGTAAACATCCTCTGATGTTTGCCGGGACCTCAGCTTCTTCTTCCTGAATGACAAAAAGGGTTTGACCGAGAGTATTAAAAACAATGTAGTGTGTCCTATCACCATTCCTATACAATGAAGAGATTTCATTATCAAAGCCTTGTAACACACATATACACATCTATCTATCTATCTATCTATCTATCTATCTATCTATCTATCTATCTATCTATCTATCTATCTATCTATCTATCTATCTATCTATCTATCTATCTATCTATCTATCTATCTATCTATCTATCTTGAAATGTAGACAAAGACCAATGTACTGTAGCTACAAATTGCCATTTTCTTGCATTGATTTCTAAAGTGTCTAATCAGCATCAGGTGCTTTGGGAGCTGAGCTTAAGGTCCAGTCCTCTCCCATTTTGTCATGCAACCACTAGTAATACAAGTGAAAAGAGTCAAGTTGATCAGGTAATGTATTGTTTGGAAACTAGGTTAAAGACAGAGCTCTGAAGGCACTAGAAGAAGTTTATGCTCATCTACTGTTGCCTCTGGAAAATAAGATTCTGTTTTGTTTCTCAATCTGCAAAGACTGATTAATCGGAGGTAACTCAGTGACATGTATGTCTTTGACTTTGGAAATAGCCTCTCTCAGCTTTCTTAAAAATCTGACTCTATCTGTAAATAAATGGGGGGAGGGAGAGTAAAATACATACCTTCGTCGAATGAAGAACACAGTTGCTAGGACAACCAAACCCATAAAGAGACAGCCAGCAATGGAACCCCAAAGGACTACTGTGGTATTAGTGCCATCAGAGTCTGTAGAGAAAAGGAATGATAGCTGTGATTAGGGAACTGTGACTGCTATTGCGCCTTGATTCACTCCTGGGGACTTTGCCCCAGCCCCTCTTCTCTTTGCCCACCAAAAACTCACGTTCTGGAAGTGTCTCAAACTCTTGCTCCACACTGTGGGCCCCCTGACCCTCCTGGGTCAGTGCCTGGACGCTCACCAAGTACTTGGTTCCAGGGCTAAGTTTAGGAAGGGTCACAGAATTCTCATCACAGCGTAACACAGAGTAGCTGTGTTCGTCCTTCTGCCAAAACAAACAAACAAAAAAAAACAGTGTAAATGCACAGAGCTGATTAAAAAATCAGCATTGATAGAGTAGCAAGTAAAACCTCCTACAGCATGCAAGAATGTTAGAGAAGTAGGGAGGCAGGGTTGCTGGTAGTTTGAAGAAGCAAATTAAATACAGCGAAGTGACAAGACAGAGGTACCTTTTTCTTGTAAGTAACCTGATATTTCCAGACATAGTTCTGTTGCCGTGGAGGTACAGTCCAGGATAGGGTGAGACTGGTGGCAGTACGGCTGTCCATGGTCACTGAAGTCACTCGTGGAGGTTCTTAATAACGAGAAGGAGAAAGATTAGGCAAGGCTAATGTGCAATGAATTGTCCCCACCATTCCCACCCCCGTCTAAGTAATGTGACTGCTTTTGCCAAGTCACCTGATTTGCCATAATAAACAGTCAGTGAATAGCCATAGATTCATATAAAATGTCCAGACTGGAAAGACTCATCAGTGGTCACAAGGCAGTTACTTATTTGAATATCATCGTCCTACATATATTACAGCAGATGGGAAACATCTATCATGCTGATAGGCCATTTGTATTTTATTTTATTATTCATTTATTAGTTGAATTTATATCAATTTGTTCCTTTTCCAGTACTGTAAAGGTAATCTGTAATAACTTTTATTGATTACTCTCTGATGTGTGAGGTCCACTCACATAGGTGAGTTAGAAATATATCAGTTAATAAGTAAATAAGGCTGTGCAACTTTCCCCATATATGGCTGCACCAGTCTCTTTGCTTTTAAGAAATCAACATGTTAAAAAAATATAGAAACACAGTAAAATGTCTGCAACTGTGCTGGGTCATACCAAGATGAGCCTAACTGATCCCAGTAGTAGATCTCAGTAGACTCTGGAAAGACTTCAGACAAGACTTGAAGGCAGAAATCATGCCTTCAGGAAAAATTACGTTATCCTAAATAATTGAGTCCTGCAATCCACACCAGCTGCTTGGGTCCCTTTAATGTGTCTGCCTCTTACCTGTCTGGTTCACACTGATACTGGTCACGCTGTAGCTACGCTGTGTGCTGAAAGAGGATACTCCATTGTGGGCCTCTACGGTGAAGGTATAGTTAACGTGTGGCTCCAGGTCACTGATGGTCAGGGATGTGCCAGCAAAATGGTCTGGGTTTTCTGAGTACCGAAGGGTGGAGTCGCAGGGGCGGCATTCCCCCAACTCTGGCCAACACTGTTCACATGTAATACTGTAGGTGATATCCTTGCGGCCTCCTGTGTTCCGGGGTGTTGACCACCGGAGTTGCACCTTGGCACCCAGGCCAATTGCTGTGACGCGGTGGGGAGCTGAAGGCGGCTCTGCGGAGCAGAGAACAGAGAAGTGTTATTAAAAAACCAGGATCCCCTTTGATACAGAGTGGAAGGTCGCCCACCAGATTAGTCATTTGCTTAGCTTGATATCTGTCTTGCTAGTACTCTCCCTGCTTCCTTCCTTTGGACTTGGTGGTTCTTTTCTTCTACCTCTGGTGGATTTCTGCTCTTCATAACAACCCTTGCCTTGCCCAGATGAGAGCATCTCACTGTCATCACTTTCTATCTGCCCTCCTCTAACCAATTCAAACTGAGCAAGGTGCCCATAGTTCTCCCCAGTTGCTGTTTAATAATCACTGACAAAATGCCTCTGCATGTGGAGGTTAAGGTCTATGCAGTCAGAATGAAGAATCGTGCAGCTATTACTCTTCCATGAGTGTGTGTCGTCAGATTGGATCCCCAGTTGCATATCCACATATGTAGTAGGCACATTCAGACCCATAAATGTGCTGGGTGTCCTAATTTAATCAAGTGGTCATAGTTCGTGATAATAATAGGAACTGGAGCGGGGCTTGAAGCCTTTACGTTTCCTTGGAACATAAGCAGCGCTGCTACTCTGATCTCACTTACGTGTGCATGGCATAGAGACAGGATCACTCAAGGCCCGAAAATAGCCTTCCTCACAAGGACAGGAAGTGGAGCCTTCGGAAGAGGGCAGTGTGTGCGAGGGGCATTTCGAACAGGCACTGTTAGAGATGTTCTCTTTGAAGAACCCAGGAGAACAAGCTGCAAAGAGAGCATGAAGACAGTGGGTTAATCTTCCTGGGCTTTATAATGATAGGACACATGAACAAAAGAAAAGATGGGCCAACAAACTGGAGATAGTGGCTTCTGTTAGAAAGATCAGGATGTAAATTGAAAGATGGACATGGATTAACAGTTGATCACGAACAAAACTCACTGTTTATTCTCCCTGCATATAAAATGGGAAAGGACAAGTCACAAGGACCAAACTCAAGGTATTCTTGTGTACATGCTTTGAAATCACATCTTCAGCTGTGTTTTAAAATGAAGCAATAGACCATCATCATGATTTGAACTTAACTGTTAGCAGCAAAGTGAATTGTATACATTTTAAACTGATACATACTTTGTTTCTATACCTATTTATAAATACCCTTTTGAAAACTGGACAAACGTATCTTAAAAATACCAGCTCCCATGTAGATGGAACATAGCTCCCCAGTTCTTTGGTGCTATTTCAGTATTTATAGCATATCACATGCATCATGCATGCATCATGACTATAGAGGAAATTAACATCTGGCCTTTGCCTGTACTGTACTTGAGTTACTCATCACACAGTATTTTCGAGCTGAATAATTTTTCCCACAGGATTAAGCTCTGCCCACAAAGTCTCTGATTCTATCTCTTCCCTTTTACTGGGATACAAAGAAGCTAAGTTCCTAGAGATTCACTACATGCCTAACTGCTCTTTTGCTAACATGACAATGGGAGCAGCAACTTTCCTCCTGCCCTGTCCAGCCAGGGTCTTTCTGTTATTCCTATTAGAATGTTACACAATTTCAAATTATGGAAATATATGAAATATAGTTTAAATTAAAAACAATTTTAAATGTTAAGATAATTAGATTATTTTTACCAGAATTATTTATATTCATTTCTATACCGCCCATCTGGCAGCCAAGGCCACTCTGGGCGGTTTAAAACAACTAAACAGTAAGAACAATAGAATCACAAAACATAACAACATCAATAAATTATAAAAGTGCAAAACAAAATACCATAAAATACAATAGAGACCTAATAAATACAATAAAATAAATAGCGTGAATAGTAGACTACAATGATAGAGTATTCTTGGCCGTTTGCCAAATCTTCCTTTGTCCACAGGATGGGACATAAGTTGGATGTGCATTAGGTGTTGCATTGATTGAATTTTTCCACAGTCACAGAAAATTTGCCCAGGGTAAGCCAAAGGAAGAATTATGCTAGTGAAGAAGCACATATTCATGACACTTGCCAAGCACAGGTTAGTGGTCTAGTATGGCCTGAGAGCAATCTGTACCATATTCCAGGACATCAGACCTGGAGTGACTTAAGGAAAAATAAAAATCTTCTAAAAGAAGGTTAAAATGGCAGAGAAACATGTATGAGTTCTCTATGGCTGCAGCCACATGTATATACAGAGGGCGGGCGGGGGGGGAGCTTTCCCAGTTCCACTCAGTCATGCCTGAGATTCCAGAAGGGGAGTTGCAAAATGCCCTTCATTCAACTAACTCCTGCTCTTATCAGCTTTAATCTTTGGTGTTTCCAAACTTTTGCCTCTGCTATGTCTCTAGTTCCACTCCAGTTTTAACTACACACCAATATATCTAATTGGTGAAGTTACAGAGAGAGAGAGAGAGAGGGCTAGTCCTTGAAAGCTGATTATTTAGAAATGGCATCCCATGTAAACCTCCATCAATATTTTGTGTGTGGTCTCTTGCTTAGAACAAACTGTCACTGTGTAACTAACACAAGGTGCTCAGTGTTGAGTCTTGTCTGGACTAAGACAATAAGTGTGTGGATGTTGATAGAAAATAATATGCAAAAGGAAAAAAGAACATATGCAAGGCAGGTAACACCATACTCAAACCCTGAAATTGGCAGTTTCAATGCCGGCATTTAGTCCCTGAAATACTTATTATTAGGGTGATTTAATATTCCATTTTTAGAACAGAAATATATGTCTCTTACAATGAAATAAGAGTTTTAAACAGGGCCTACAGACCGTAATGAGGCATTCTTTAGGACCTGTGAACAATGCATTTCCTTCACTAGGCAATTTGTAACTCAGGAATCTACATTATATTGAGCCAGAACCTCAGCTCATTTAGCTCTTGAGTTGTGTACACTGAATGACAGGAACAGTTTTTTGTCCTTTGGAGGTGGGGTATTTCCCTCCGTACCTGTAGATGCCAAGGACTTCTTGCATATAAAGGAAAAGCACTGCCACTTCATTGTTGGGGAGAGAATCTCTTGCTGACTGGAGAATATACTTTAGTAGTAGGCATAAGTCCCAGGACCAGTTTTATAGAACCAGTGCATCTAGCACAGCTGTTGAAAAGGTACACCCTAGACTTTGGGAGACATGGGGCACATCCTGCAGAGAGGTAAATCCCCTAAAACAACCCAAGAGGGGATGCCCTCAACCCCACCCCACCCCCCTTTTGCATCCACAGTGCTAAACCCGGTTGGGGTAGAGAAGGAAGAGGTGGGTACTTCCCCTCCCTCCCTGATGAGAATAGGGTTCAAGGGATGTGGGATAGCTCGTTCAAGCTTGTGCAGTGGGATGGGGAGACCCCATCACAAGATGAGACCTGCAGGCTGCCTAGGTTGTTAACAAATTGGAACACTTTAGCTGCCCTCATAAGCATCAGTTTCCAATCAATCTGAAGACATATAACACCCCTCCCCCTTTCCTTGGCCAAAATCTGTTTCTGGGAAGAAAGTTTGGTGAGCAATTCAGGCATGTTGAGGCTGTCCTGGGGCTTCCACCAGCAGGTACTCCAGCAGCTGCTTCCCCGATATTAAAAGGGAGTGGTGATCGTGGTGAAGATGGGGGGGGGACTGGGATGTTGGCCAGGTGCGTACTCACACCATCCTCTTGATCTATTGTGGAGTCTTCGTAGCAGCATGGACCCAACCAGTCCCACATAATTTTAGGCTCGAAAAATTGGATTAGATGGATTCTCTCTATGCCTTTGGAGTGCTGCCTGCTGGGGCAGGTCATTGCCATAAGCTGTGTCCCAGCATTAAAGAGGGGATGTTGTAGGCTAAACATTTCCCTCTTCTTTATAAAACTCAAGTAATGTCTAAAGTATCCCTACAGGGACTATTTCCTTTTCCTAACCACTGAAGACTAAAAGAGAATTTTGTAACTGAGTTAAAGGAAAAGAAATAGATTAGTTTGTTAATTTAAAGCGGTACTGAAGTCACCAACAGTTCTCAAGCAAGTCGTGGTGCATTGTCTGTTTTCAGATGATGCACAGATGCATAATCTCCAAAGAGGCACTTTTAAAAGTTGGTTCTTGTCACCTGTTATTTTAAGAAAACACTTGCTTGAATTTTGAATAAGTAGTCTGCTGCCCATTTAAAAGGAGAACAAAGTGTTTTTTTAAAGTCAATTCCAACTTGCAGCTACCTTAGTAAAAATGAAAAGACAAAATTTTCAACCCTGATAACTAGAACATCGTCCCCCCAACCCTGTGCATACATATGGAGCTTGACTGCACCAGGCCCTGTTGAATAATTCATCTTTTAGATATTATACCACTTGACTACTAATCAGTGCTGAACTCTTGCTGGCATAAGGCTTGAGTCGGTGTGCGGTGGTATGGCATGCCTGCCAAGGGGCTTGATTGAAGGAGCAGGGCTTTAGAGAGACTTACTTTGCTGGGAGGATAAGGCAGCCAACCTTAGTGGGTTCCCAAGGAATAGTGTTCCCTTCGGCATGTGTTTTGTTGAAAGCCGAAACAGGGTGAGGCAAAAGAGGGGTGAGGAGAGGGAATTGCTGGTGGCCCAAGAGAATTTGCTGGCAGCAGGAGGTAAAAAGCGTGGTGGAGGAGATTGTGCACAGGAAGCAAAGAATATCTGTGTTTATTTCTGGAGATAAACTGCCTTTGTTTCCTCCCTATGGGCCTCCCCATGGAGGATGGAAGGTCAGAGTATCTTTACACAAAAGGGCAAATTCCTTTTTCCACACACACACACCCTCCCCCCACTGGCGGGAGGAAACGGCTGCTTTAGGCTGAACAGGATGGTATGTGGTGGGTGGGGACAGCCAGGTTAACAGAAAGTGCCCCACATGGCAGAGCAGCCTGTCTGCTCCCCAAGACTGGTTTCTCCCCTTTACTCTAGTATTGCTCTCTGCTGTGCCAGGGATTTTCCCAGAATTGGGAAGGGGTGGGGTTGCCAATGAAGGATACAGATACTTTTGCCACCTTGTCTAAATGCAATTTCATGAGTCAACAGCAACTTTTCCAACTTTAAAAACTGGCTACCTTGTTGGCCACCACTGGGAGATTCTCAGTTCTTCCTAGGGGGCAGCTTACAAACTCTAGGAAACATGTAGTAATGCCGTGAAAGAGATGAATATATTAAGTAGACTATTTTATATTTCAGGCAAACATGTTTTATGCAGAGTTACAAACTGAGCAGAGTAAAGAACGTATGAGTGACTTTGCTTTCAAAGCACTAGAGAAAGCAGGTTTAAGTCTTGCGGAGTTCATCACTAGGTGAAATCTTAAATATGTATATGTAACTACAAAAGTGTTTGGACTTTTGGTACCAGCAGGTGTTGGACAAGTAAATAGGACTCTCTTTGTTCAATATGTTATCTCTAGGAACCTGAAGTTAAGACTCAGTTGTGGCTGATGAGGAGAAAATGTGAATCAAGATTGGAGGTGTGAGGAGACATGCGAGGGAGGAAGGCTGAATGGGACAAAGGGAAGTGTCAGCCCTCACTATTCACAGCTCCAACAGCTTTGTCGGGTTTAATGAGGAGGATTATTAGGCAGTGGGGTCCCTACCCACACGCACGCACGCACACCCACCCATTCCTGGGGCACAATGCCTCCATTCAGACAGGACAGAGAACCAGTGTTTTTAGAACCCTTCCTATACAGTGAGATGGGGAATGCTGGGTGTATAGTTTGTGTATGAACACCACTTGTTTCCATAATAGTCTGAGGGAAAGTGAAAAGCTCTGGATAATGTTATTCTAGTCTGTTTCTAGCTGAGCTGAAGGAAGGAAGGAGAGGGGTTGCTTACTGGAGATAAACGTGATCCAGGAAAGAAAGTGTGTAAGGGAAAGATGGCCTCCTGGAGTTCACACTCTAAAGAGGTAGATGGGTCAGCTGAGGAGGGTACTCATGCTTTGCAAATCCTGAATCAAAGAAGGCAGGAGTAAAGCCCTAATACTGGGGTGTCTTTTTTTTCCTCCAGAGATGACGTGAGATATGGCATTCCCACTTTGAAATGTGAGATGTTTTTCCTACATGGAAATATGCACATGTTCATATGAATTTAACAGCATTGGCAGGGCAAATTTTAAAAATGTGTGAACATGAGTTTTTGCACATTCCCCCCCCAAAAAAAAATAATAATAATGCATAGTGAGCTTAAGAAATGTGTTGATTAAATGCTGAAAGGCTCAGGATAGAAAACAGGTAGTGCCGCACAGAATAATGGACCTCTGACAAATTATTTGCCGATCCGCAATAAGAACTGTGAAAAAAGCAAAGATTGCTTTTCCTCAAAACAAAGGCATTTAGCATCTCAAGAAGCAGGTTATCAGCAATTCCTTTGCCCGTGTTTCAGGCCCCCGTTTCACTCCTGAGAACATAGCTGTCTGGCAGCAGCAGGTAGGAAGGAAGTCTGACCGTATCCTCTATCAGGTAGATAGGGATGTGAAATGCTTGTTCAGGAGGCCTGCATTGCTCCATAACCTTAAAGATTCCTTATCTCTTTCTTCTTGCAAAATACAGACACATTCCTAAAGCAAAGCATTTTGCCTCTTATCTCTTGCCCTCCCCCTTCTCCTTTGGCTCCCCACTTGGCAAAAACAGGGCTTTGAGTGGGGATGGATAACATATTTCTGCTTTCTGTTCTCTCTGGAGATTTGGCTCACTTTCAATAAAAGTGGAAGGTGAAGCCTAAGTAAGTACTGTACCATTAGCATTCGGGGCTACCCGATTCTCTCTTTACTTAATTAAACCCTTACTTAATTAAACCCAAGACCCTTGGTTTATACTCAAACCTGGAAAGTTAGCAGCAGTGGCACCGCCTCACTTCTGAACAACACCTGTCAAATAACCACTGGCAGCACTGGAAAACAATTATTTTCCCTAAGGATGCCTACCTGGGCTCTGTCAAGCACCTGCAGCATCCAAAGCCTTCCTGATCTGTTCCTGACAGGTGAAAAGTTTGCCAGGTGGTAGCACATCCAAGGCAGAAGATGGTGTTCCCTTTCTGCTTTGGCACCACCAATAGCCCATAAAGAAGAAGTTGCTTGCTTCTGTGTGGCTGCCTATAGCAGCCCACCTAAAGGAGAACCACTGCACTGAGTTTTCAGAGTTGCCTGCAACTGATCCTGGCAAAATATCTAACTGCCAAGGTGGAACAAACCACACTTTGACCACCAAGATCAGGAGACATCTCTTGCTCTTTCCACATCTGCACAGGAAATGCAAAGAAAAGTCAAAAGAATTGAAGGAGTGAACCACTTAAGAGTAGTATTTTCCCTCTTTCCACAGCACAAGAAGACAGATCTGTGGAGGGAGAAGGGAGAACCAGTGACTTGCCTTTAATGAGGTGCTTCTGAAGAGCAAGAATGGGAAAGGTGTGAAGTAACATAAATTCCATGTTTCATCTCAATTGTTGGCTCTTTTATTGGACTCTGGACCTAATTTTGTAATGTTGCTGAGAATCCTAGGACTAAAGCAGGCTGGAAATACAACAGAAAAACAAAATAAAATGAGAGCAGACTTACCTCTGCAGCTATCGCCGTCTTTCTCATACCCTTCACGACAGAGGCATTCACCAATGGGCACCAGCCATTCTCCATCTGAGTTGCAGTGCATGAGAGGCTCCTCTCGGGCCACAGCATGCTGCACGCATGTCCCCGGCACCTTGGCCAAGGGCTGTGAATCAGCACCAGCAATGGTTTCAGGGAAACTTGCCATGTTGTGGAAGATTCCTGGGCACTTTTTGTAATAGATACGGACCGAGAGGAGGGCCACACAAGCCCCAATGTCCTGAAAGGCAAGATAGAAACCCTTGCGAGTTAGGGGTCCAACTGAGCGCACCTCTGTATTGATCTTGACATTGCGTGTGTCAAAGTCCTCACGCAAGGTAATTTCATCTGGAGCGATGGTGTCAATCTTGCGGAACTGACGTTTCTGAAAATTGATGCCGTAATCAAAGTCCGACTCAGCGTAATAAAGGTTGAAGGTTTCCTTGCAGGTGCCTGTCCCACTGGGGAAGCTGTTGCAGTCTCGAACCGTGAACTGGAGTTCAATGAAGATGCGCTGAGCTTCACTGCGGTAGATCCAGTTTGTCCGCAACCAGTTGTCTTGATCTCCCTCCATCACGTTGCAGACAGAATAGATGTAAATAAGCGACTCATTCATGACGTTCTGGAGAAGATCCCACTAGTAGAAGGAGAAGAGCATAGTCACTAAATTGAGTGTTCTTTCATGCAAATTCACAAAGATGGGGAAATAACTTCCTCTGGGAACAGTATGTAGTCTACAGTGGCTTTTAACCCTTAAACTGATAGTGACTACTTTTCTGTACAGTTAATTAGAAGTGGAAGGCAGGTTCAAGTGTCAAGCTAAATCAGTCTTATTTGGGATCTTGTTTTCAGTTGTGGCCAGTTAGATGTCCTGGGAAACAAAAAAGGAGGACACAGTGGACACAGAATTTCGTGCTGACTTTACATCCAAGGGATATTACATGGAGATTTTATTCAGCAAATCTGGCTACTTCGTAGTGATTGGTTTATTTTCCATGAGTTGCTGAATATTTTGAAAAAAGTTATTTCCAGTAATCACCTCAATCAATCCCATTAGAAGAGCTTTTTCCCCAAAATGCACATCTGCTTACAAAAAATAAATACACACAATCTTTCCCCTTCCGTGATTCTATTTTTTTCTGGTGTGTACAAAACCATCTGCATTAGGTGCAATAATTCAACTTGGAGTTCCTGAATCCCGGGAAAATTGTTATGCATATATTTAAACAATTAAAGGTATCTGTTTCAAGTGCCACTAAAAGGGTAGTTTATTGTCAATTATATATTTTATCACTGTAAGTGGAGTTTTAGATCTTCAACCCCAAAACAAAATATTGAAGGAACTTGTCTTTCCATTAAAATAGAACCAGTATGCCGTAAAAGATTTCAAACTTACACCTTTCCCATAGGGATGATTGAGCCAGCCCAGATCCCCCTGTGCCTTGGCAAAATCAAGCAGGACAACTGGAAAGGAAAAGAAACACAAAAGAGGGTTATTGCCTAGCAGAATCCTATTCCAACTAAACACCTCATAGAAAAGGAAAGGAAACCAAGCAAATCTTGCAAATGGATGTCAGGATGAGAAGCTGTTGGTCTACAGTGGCTGATTATCAGATTGAACGAGATCGTGCATTGCTTCTTGTCGTAGGCAAGACCACCTTAACTGCACGGTACTTAACTGTACAAAATGTGATGGTAGGAAGGTGCCATTAAAAAACCCGGGAAGTCCAGTTATCTGGCTTTTATCTCACAGTAAAGTTTGTCTTTTGGTTTACTGTATATCATGTTTTTTCCTCAAGCTAAGAAGAAGGTGCTGACTAACCTGTTGAGGCTGTAAAAACAGAGGCCAGTTGTTTGGAAACAGGGCAGGAGCCCTAAGATGGAAGGGCAAAGAACTGCAAACAGAGAGGTGGATGATCACCAGGGAATTGTGAACGAGGAAGTACATAGTCTAAGGACCATGTTCCCCAACCTTGGAGCAGAAATCACAAGGTACTCTTCAAAAGAACATTCACTTGGAGGCAAGTGGGGTTACCTGGGCTAAAAGAAAGGCAGGGTTGTTGGGAGGGGTGAATGATTTCAGAACAAATAGTCCATGAGCTCATGGAACAAAACAACGGACCACGAGTATATCTCTATCCCCAAAATCTGAAAATGTAGCTAGGGTCTGAACCAGAAAACTTCCCACGGGTGAAGCAGGCACACTGTCTGATTATCTTTGACCTCTTTCCTAAGGAGATCCCTTACAGTCTAACCTGGTATTGCTTACAAAGGCAGTGGCTCTTGTGTTTTCCTAGCTTTGTTCTCAAGCCCTATCTTGCCAGAGATGGAATCTGGGCTTTCTGCATACAAACATGTGCTCTACCTCACTCTAAAAAGGAAGAGATCCTTCTTAGTGTCTGTGCCCTTTCCTTCTCCCCCACAGATACTCCTGCCAGTCTCTGGGGTTTGTTATGCCTTCCGTTCCACTCTCCAGAGATTCTTTTCCTCCACAAATCTTTTCCAGACACAGCTTTTGGATGAAACACCCATGTTTTGTTGCCAAGTTCCAAACCCCTCATTAAAGTCAGATTCCAGCACAGAGAACAAGCCTGGTGCATCTTGAGGTGGGCGGATGCCACCAGTGGCGGGCAGGGACTGGTATCCGCCTGCTTTTGCTTCAGACGTTTACAAAGCAAGACTCTTACCCTTTCGAGCGGGGGGGAGCCTTTCTCCTCTTACTTGCACCTGAATAACTATTGTATTTAGAACTAGCAGAAGGCAGTGCCCCCTCCCCACAAAGGCTGCCAGAGAGGCACTGCAATTGCATTGCGGATGAGCTAGGCAGAATGTAAAACACAAAGAAATAGTGCATTGTTGACCTCTCCAGAGGGAGCCCACAGACCTGAGAGTCTGGCCACCAAAGGACCTCTTTGGGTTCAGCTTTCACTGGTCTTTGTGGGTGTCTCTCTGTGAATGGTCAATTACCAAAATGGCTGGTCCTCAACAGCCCTGCAAACACAGTAATGTAGTTCCATTAAGGAGTCAATCCATCTCACATTTGGTCTTCCTCTTTTCCTGCTGCCTAATCGCCGAAGAATTGGTGCCTTTGAATTGTGGTGCTGGAGGAGACTCTTGAGAGTTCCCTGGACTGCAAAGAGAACAAACCTATCAATTCTAAAGGAAATCAACCCCAAGTGCTCACTGGAAGGACAGATCCTGAAGCTGAGGCTCCAGTCCTTTGGCCATCTCATGAGAAGAGAAGACTCCTTGGAAAAGACTTTGATGTTGGGAAAGTGTGAAGGCAAGAGGAGAAGGGGACGACCGAGGATGAGATGGTTGGACAGTGTCACCGAAGCAACCAACATGAATTTGACACAACTCCGGGAGGCGGTGGAAGATAGGAGGGCCTGGCGTGCTCTGGTCCATGGGGTCACGAGGAGTCGGACACGACTAAACGACTGAACGCAACCACTGTTTTCCTGCAGATCTAAGCACTGGCATTAAAGTGCTCTACATTTAAGGACCAAGATAAAATGAGGATTCCTTCTTGGCTATTCCACTGTTCTGTGTCTTCTCTCAAGAGCAGCCACCAAATTTCACTTGGAGTGTTTGCCCTGTGCCTGTGAAAATTCCCTTTGACACATACACACTCAGCAAACTCTGAGCCAGAATACATCTGAATACTGCCTTGGATCTCCTTAGAAAGAGAAAGGTGGCCTATAAATAAAATAAATGAATAGATAAGAAATAAGTGCCATAAACTCCTGTTGAAAACAAGTCAGCCTGATCTCTGGCAACATGAGCTCTGCTTGTAAGAGGCAAAGACTGCTTAGATTCTGGTTTGCTAAACTTGATGCATGCTGTTTTAAAACTTGCAGTCTGTCCAAATGATAGATGAGGCTTGGAGGGAGAGATGAGTAAGTGAAATAACAGCTGACACTGGGGAGGAGAAAGCTGAAGGCGGCACATACAGGCTACTGCAGAGTGAGCAATACCTGTGTGTCGGATAAAGGTTGGCATCCTTTTTATGTGTATTTCATTTCATATGCCACCAAAATGCTTAGACTCTTCCTAATAAAGGCTTTAAAAAGAGAGAGGGAGAGACTGGAGACTCACAATATAATACAATACCTATATGCCTTTTATAATTTATTGTATTGTATTTTAGCCCAGTATCCTGTCATGATTCTAGCAATTTGTTCTCAAGAGTTACAGCTCTTTGAAAATAAAGATATCCCTTCCCAGATACCCTAGTCCTGTTGCTGCTCCTGTAGGCTTAGCATAGGACACATTTGAACATGTATAACTCTGCCCCATTCTTGTGTTCGAATGGAGTCCCTCTTGCATGTGAGTCTCCACTAGGATTGAGGTCATTGTGGTCACCGAGGTCTTGGTGCTAAAGAGGTAGGCACTCATGGCTCCAAGAGATGTCAGTCGATTCCAGAAGGGAATTCCCAACTCGGGAATAGAGCGGTACTGAGCCTTTGTTTAAAAGCAGGGACCGGTGCTGGTAGGATTGCCTAAGAACTGTAATGGCGATAGCTAAATCCAAGTCTTGGACAGAAACATGTAGAGTACATATCTTTTACTGTAATTTGTTTTAAAGCTCTAGTTTGCATTTAGATCTACAGAGAAAACAGGCATCAATGGCAGCTATTTTCTCTCAAAAGGGTGTGTGCCTACTCAGCAGCATTAAGCCTTTTGAAACCTCTCAAACCTACCCTTACCACCCAGAACATGGGGAATTGTAGTTTATCAATGTTGGTACCTCTGTAGTTAGTGTGTGATTCCCAGTAGACATCCAGAATATGCTTCCTATCCTGTGAACTGAGGACATTTTGACGGCCACATGTGAAATTTCTGCATGTGAAATCCTGATGTGGCAGGATTTCAGTCTTTGCCCTCTTCTGGGTCAAGAAACCTGGCAGAAGCTACTGTCATGTCAGGCTTCCAAAGCAGGAATGAAGATCATTTCCAGCTTCCTCCAGACATTTGGTTCTGTGTACCTTTTGAGATCAGCAGCTAATGCAAAATCTCTTTGGATGGATGAAGTAGGAATCCCATCTGCCTAGCCAAGATCCTGTGGCAGGCAGAAAGCAGGAACCCTGCTTTGGTGCATCTGCAGTCACTCAAATTTGCCTCCATTGAACTCAAGGTGGCATACATGATTTCAATATCCCCGTTTCACCTTTACAACACCCCAGTGAAGTAGATTTGTCGGAGAGAGAGTGACCACCAATCCAATGAACCTCATGGCTAAAAAGGAATTGGAATCTGTGTTTGCTTGACTCAATTCGGACATACTTAATTCTGATATATTCTCTTAACAGCTGGACTGGAGTTGCTGTCTCTTCCAAGCTACCTTGAAATAAGAAAATCAAATACCAGATCAGAGCCTCTTCTGCTTATTTAATGTTAAAAGAGGGAGGAAATGCTTCTCCTTGCACTTATAATCAAAAAACCAAAGCCAGCACTTGTGTGTTGTCCAAAGTTTCCCTGGATTCTCCCTCAAAGTATTTGCAAGCAGCATCTGGAACAGCTTTTCTTACCACCAATTTCCAGAGTTAATTTTAAATATTACCCTTCACCATAGTATTTCAATTTCTTTAAACTGTCTGCTTCAGTAGCATGGAAAGCCTAACCCAGAGGTAGATGGGGAGAAAAGAGAAAACCACACCACAGTCTATGCTTGACTGAAGATTCCTGACAAAGTGGTTCACAGTCAGCAGCTGAGCTCAATGATAATGAAGCCCAAAATCAAATGTCTCGGTGTCTCTCTCTCTCTCTCTCTCTCTCTCTCTCTTTCTCTTGCCTTCTCTCTTTCTCTCTCTGCTAGCCCCAAACATCCAGCTGAGATAAGGGGAAAGCTAGAGGCGAAGAGGATCCTTCAGTGGATCCAACTTTGAGCTCTGGAAATTCTGATTAAATAGAAGGGTTAACAAGTACAGTGGACCCTCTACTTACGGAATTAATCCGTATTGGAATGGTGTCTGCAAGTCGAAAATTCTGTAGGTCGAATCTCCATTGACCTACAATGCATTGAAAACCAATTAATCCCATAACCGGCGGGTTTTATTCTATTTTTGTTCCATTTTGGGTTTTTTCTGGTCTGTAAGTCGATTCTCCGGCTGCAAGTCGAATCTAAATTTTGCAGCCAGAGAAGTCTGTAACTCGAAAAGTCTGTAAGTCGAGCCGTCTGTAAGTCGAGGGTCCACTGTACTACAATTCCCTTGTATCTATTACCTTATTTATCCATTTCAAGGCACAAGGTTCCTCAATGCTTACGTTGGAAAAAACGGACAGGCTGATGAGTGGGTGAATACAGTCCCAGGATTCAACCTTTGAAAACGCCTACATTCCTCTGTGATTTTGCCTAAGCATCAATGGCCAGAAGTAACTCCTGCAGATCTGGAGTTAGCAAAGTCCAAGGATAAAAAGATAACCACTATGGGCATTTTCTCCAGCAAGTAAACACAGGCTGGTTGAAGAGGCAAATGACTAACTTCAGTCATAATACATGGAGTTTGTTTCGTGTTAGACAAGAAAAGAGATGTTGTGGTTCTGAGGGAGAAATGCTGGCATCTTTTAGGCACCTTGAAAGAAAGAAGGAATGCCACACATGTGCCCCAGATAGGCAGAAACTCCATGAGTCTAATCTCTTGGTGTCTTCAGCTATTGAGATCTGCATGGATGAACAAAGTGCATTTACAGCAACAGAGAGATGCAAAGGGTGGCTTAAATAGTTGTCTGTCTCATTGTCCCATAGTCATGTTTTTAGAATGTTGGGTGCTGCTCTGAAACTGCAGACCTCCCAGTTCCATTAGTAGAGGCACGAGTCCACAGTTAACAGAGCCAAGACAATCAGACTGGAGAGAGCTGTTTACTGGATAGAACCCTCTTCATCTCTTTAGTTCCCCAGCGTAATTAAAGCCCAGGCATCCATGGCTCTTCATTAACATTCCTGCCTTCTCTCCAACAAGCCAAGCGGGGCCCTTTGGGTTTGAGGTTTGGAAGAAGCAGCATTGTGGCATGGCATTACAGAGTATGTTTGACTCAGTCTAGTTGCACCACTGATGCCTCTCCTCTTCAGACAACCCTACACTCCCTTTTTGTTGCTTTTTAAAGCAATTTGATGGATGTGCAGAAAAAAGGACAGCATCTGCCCTTTTGAGATTAGAAGCGATTCTGCAGCCAAACCCCACATTTTTCAGCAAGCCTTCTGTCTCCAGACGACTTGTTGGTTAGCCCAACTTCATTATGCATTTGGAATACAGTAGGAGAGACATCGGCCACTTCTCTGGCTTCTGCCGCACTCTGACTACTGCTTCAGCAAGACAAGGGGAGAGGGGCGTTGATGCTAGCTATAGGGACTCGATTTGGATCAAGGCTGCTAGTTGCTATCCAGACGTATATGCCATTCAAATTTTGTTCTGTATACGTGCACAACATATGTGTACGTACATGACACCACCTCAGTTCATTCTTTTTTAGAAGGTTTAATTAGCAAGTTTTCTATATATCTTGAAAAAGATGTCATTCGAAATTCAAAAATCAGAAAAACTGTTAGCCTTATGTATGTCAAATTATCATGGATGGTACTGTGGGCTAGGAAAGTATACCCCCACCTTTTGGACTTCTACATTTTAGGGGTCTCCAACACCCCATGAAAACTTCTGTGTATTTTGAACAACAACATCCCTGTTTGCACAGAAGAAGAATAAGTTACTGTACGCTACCAGCCTTTTTCGAAAGATGCACTTGTAACTGATTTGGGGAAAAGAATGTCGATAGTCTCTGGCAACAAAGTCTGTAACTCATCGCATCATTGGCAAAAAATAAATAAAGACAGGAAAAAGTCTTCTGTACATTTGTCAAGGATTTGTTTTCACCACTTCTGCTAAAATGCGACCCAACACATCTCCCCGAGAGGAGACCTGCTTGTGAGATAAGATTCCTGGCTCCATTAAATCTTGGCTTTCAGGTTGGAGGGGAAAAAACCCTGCACACCCAAGGATGTGTCTGGACTTGCCCAGTGGAAATCAGCCTTTGCTCCCATCCTTGGCCTCTGCCCCGCCAGAATGCTGGGCAAGGGGGACTGGCCATGATTTTTAGTCCTGAATACTCAAGCCGGTGGACTGGCTGCTTCAGACATGGGGGGATTCTTACTATGGCAGATATACAAATGGGTGGCCCTCAAAATCTGAAGTTGCAAAAGATGTATGTGTTTGAAAAGAGTTGTTCTGCGTTTCTGAGCAAGGGAAATGAGGGGAAAAAACTGCTCTAGCTTTTGTTCGAGCCCCCAAGTTGCAGCGGCACATTCAGGAACTGGGAGAGATGAGCCCTAACAACTGCATATCTAAGAGCAGACACTTTTTAAGGGCAACGCTGAAACAGGAAAAGAAGGCAGAGGCCTGGGCACTGAGATCATATATTTGCCTAAACCTCATGGCATTAGAAGAACCATTGCTGATGCATTTGTAAGAACATCCCATTAAGCTCTGAAATTGAATTGATCATCCAGCCCCTAATGGTGAATCACTGCCCCTCCTTGACCCACCCTTCTTTTGTGGCAACCGGAATATTTGCCTCCATTGCCCAACCTGGCACTGTGCATTTGTGTAATCAAGGTGTGTGAATCACCTCACTTGACAGGGTGCTGAATCAGAATTCCACCCAGTCTCCGATCTGGGCTGTGCAGTTTCCTATTTGAGCTGTGGTGGTTAGTTTTGTAGAAAAGAAATGGACAATGGATTCCCTCCCCCCCCCATCTTCATTTGAGTGCAGTTTTCTGAATTCCACAGAACTCTTATTCAGTCACAATCCCTCACCTGCCAAAGTGCCCCCATATTTGATCTCTTCCAAGGAAGAAAAATGACTTCCATTAGGCCCAAGTCTCAGCATTCCGTAACCCTGAATCAGTTGGTATCTCCCATGCAAAAACTGTATCTATTGAACCAAGTCTGGAATTTTAAAAATGCTGTGTGAATAATTGAGCTTTCAGTCTCTTCCCAGTGCTACTGAAGATTCAGAAGTACCTCAGCAATCTTTAGAAAGAATTTCCCAATACCCCAATGCTCCTTCAACCTGTAAGACTACTAACTACTTCAGGATCGTTCCTATTCGCACAGTTCAGAACGAGAGGAAGAGAAGTATACTGTAATGGAGTCTTCTATCAACGGCTCACCTAAGCTGCCCTCCCTTGACAGCAGATAGCTAGAAGTTCCTAAGAAGCCCACAGATAAGATACCAAGACAAGACCCTCCTGTGCTATTCCCCAATGCGTGGAATTCACAGATAGACGGGCACTGGCCCTGTAGGCTCCATTAACCTACCACGGATCCTCCTCAACAGGTCTACCAGTGCCACCGAAGAAGCTGCCCTTTCCCCTTCTACCCTGAGGCTCATGCCAAAAGCAATTTATTCCTACAGATAAAGATACTTTTTTCCTGATTCTACTGCCCGCAATGCAGTTTATCACAATTTAAGACAAATTATGAAGAAGTGATCCCTCTACATGTGTGCACTGATTCCAGGCTCATTGTGGCTTAAAAGAGAGCTACAATGGATTTTGATGGATTTCTTCAGCCACTTCACAGTTTGGCTGGCCCTGGAATCGAGCAGGGTTAGTTTGATTCCACAAGGCTACGAAGACCTCGGTACTTTTCAGCTCCTTTCAGTTTTGGCACTTCCAAACCACCCTTACCCACACACCCTCCGCTGGTCACTTTCCTGTATCTCTGTCTTTGAGAGCACCCGCGAAAACTTCTTTCTTCACATGGACTGTTCGCAAAAGGGGGGGGGGGCAGAAAGTTTGAAAAGCTGCTTTGGGAAAAGCCTGCCAAGCAGGTGGGGGAGAAATGTTGGCCAGATGGCAGAGCCTGGTCACTGCTGCCGCCACAAGTCTTCCCAGCCATGTGAGTGAGTGAGCAAGTCAGCGGCAGCTTGCACGGCAGAGCCAGAGCCGGATGGGCGTCTCACAGGCTTTCTCTTCCCCCCCACGCCCCCCCCCAGCCCCGTGGCCCTACGGGCTCCTCTGAAACACTGTACCCGCCAGCCAGTGCGTGGCAGCGAGACCTTTGATCGGAGAGAAGAAGAAACCCACCACCCAGGGTATGCCTGTGAAAAGGGAGGGAGAGATAGCGGAGTCTAGACACGACTTACCCTCCCGGGTCTGGACTCCTTGGAGCGTCACCTGGAGCAGGACAAAGAGGGGGGACAGGAGGGGGCCGCTGACCCCACGGAGACTGGCCATGCCGTGGCCTGAGCGAGTGCCTAAACAGATTGCTGCTTGGCCGCTTGCTCCCTCCTTCTCTTTAGGGAATCGCTGTACCTCTTTCGACAGAAAAGCTCAATGAGAGCTGGTGGGAAAGTTCTTGCCTTGTTCATTCATGCCCTGTGCTGACGTCAGGAAGCCACGCCCCCAGACAGAGTGGCTCTTCCCCCGCCCTGCCCTGGTGAAAAGAGCATCCGTCCCGGGCTGCTTCGCAGGGAAGTTGACAGGAAAGGAGATCTCCAGGTTCAGTGACAATTTCCTTGGATTATGTTCCTCTTCAGCCAGCTTTCTAGGACGTCTCTGTTATAAACGGAGTACCAGCCTGGTAATGAAGGTGGAGGAGCCCCTGGGTCCCACCCAACTAAGGACTCTTCTTGTACTTGGGAGCAAACGGATGGCAAAGTGACCATTCATAGTCTCTGCTCAGAACGCAGCACCAAGACCATACTGTGGACTAAGAAATATATTTTGTATAAGAAATGTAGTTCTCTTTATTGTTACTCAGTAAAGGAACAGTATCTAGGCTGGTGCAATGGAAACAAACATATTAGGACTCAGGAGACCTGTGCTTGAATGGGAAGCTCATGGGGAGCAGAGTGGGTGGAACTGATAAGACCACTTAAATACAGTATCTCACTTTGAAAACTACCAAGATCACTGTAAGCTGAGTGTGACCTGATGGCATGTGATACATACAGAGGAAAACAAGCTCACACCATTTTTCTGAATTCTTCTAGTTGGAGAATATGAGTGAGCAGAAGGGTGCTGTTTATTTCTTTATTTGATTTATATACTGCCCCATTCGTGCACACACTGCTTTTTCTGCTTGTGTCTTGTGTGTGGCTTTTACATTCAGTGCATTACATTGACCAGGTGACATACAAAGACTTTGCTGGCCCCACAGATCTTACACGATCGTCTTAGGGTCCATGTAGATTCAAATTTATTTATATATTTGTGCATTTATATAACACTAACTTAATGCAGAATATTATTCTAAGTGATTTATAGCAACATAATTTCACAGTGGCTTAACCACCAAACAGTAAACGTCTCAAATAAACAATAGATACTACAAATGGTGTACAAGTGATTATGGCAACACTGAGGGCACAGATAGAATAGCTCAGGAGGGGATAGCTTTGAATGTCTCTTGAGCATAGTCTTTTAGCATCCTCTTGAAGGATGGGAGGGAGGGGAACAGAGAAGGCCCCCTCCTTTAGCTTAATCTTTTTTTGTCTAAACAGTGGGACAACAATGTTCATAATCATCTAGCTGCCAAGGGAGTTCTAATCTAACACATTTGGAGGGCACCATGATGTGGAAAGCAAGTCTGGACAGAAAGTAGATCCATCCCACCAGAAGTTCTACTTTCACTTCCATTGCATTATCCTGACCAATTATTCCCAAAGGACACTTGTGGTGAAACATAGCCTGATTATGTATATGTATATTCTGTCCTCTGAAGATGCCGGCCACAGAGACTGGCAAAACGTTAGGAAGAAAAACCTAAAGAACACGGCCAGATAGCCCGAAAAGCCTACAACAACCATAGCCTGATTATGCTTACATTGAACTGTGATCAGAAATATAAGCAAGCAGTCTTTGTTTTATGGTCATAAACCCAACAAAGCTAAGCAATCCAAGTGGGTGCTGTGCTTCTCCCATCCCTATAGATAGAAGGAAATACAAATAGAATCTCTCTTTTGGAACATACAATATTTGCTTAGGAAGAAGTTCTATTATGCGGGTTCCTTCTTTAGAGTGTTTATCAACCCTTTGCCACATTCTCATCTCTCTGGTGGCTGACTGGAAGCCTGTGGTGTGTGTTTGCAAGGAAACTGATCACAAGAGTTTAAAGGCAAAGGCTGGTCCCGTCCCACCCATTTTGCACCAAAGGTAATTGGGGTGCGTAACGGAAGTGTTGCTTAAGCATTTATTTAGATATTGAGGGAATGAGTTCTTCTCCTGAGTCTCAAAGAGGGTTTCAACATAAAAAGACATAGAATAAATCAAAATAAAGCTGATATTTAAGCAACTTTTAAGCTGGAAGCAGGAAGGAACAGAAGAAAGCATGGGCCTCATTTACAGGTTATTTGTCACACCCATCTTGAAGAAAATGCATGCTTTCCTGTTTTTAATTGTTCAGTCATATAACAGAGCATACAACCCAGTCTTTGCTTTGGAAGTGCTACAATTACTTTGGGCACTTGAGGTGTGCTGTATTAGCAGCCTGCCTTGAGACGAGTGGCCAAACGCTTGGTGGTTAGGTTCAGACTGATGTGACTCAGAGAGATCTCCCCAGTTTCTTTGGCTTTTCTGATCAGCAGGCCAAATCCTCTTGCTGATCGGCTTTTCCTGCCAGCAGTGCATGGGTTCTCGTGTTCCTAGGCCCTGTGCTTAGTCTTCCCAGCCATGGCGATAACTTGGGTTCTACATGGACCAACTTCCCCCCCCCTCCCCGGAGCTGACAGCTTCAGTATGAGTAGTTAAAATACTTACGAGTATTCCATGATACCACAAAACCTTGGTCAATACAGTCCTGTAGTAGGATAGGAATGGGAGGAAGAATCCTCCACATCCTGTTGCCATTTTAAAAGCAACAGTAGTCAGAATATGCACATAATCTTGCAAAGCAAAATTGGCAAAAATACCATACGTAACTTACCGGTAATTGAGAAACCACATAAGAAACCACATAGCTTGGATAATAATGGCAGATGTTGTGGGATTAGTTCATCTTATTCAGATTGCAGAGCTTCCCCTTCCCCCTTTGTCATTTGACGGTAATAATTCTAAAAGGCCTCTGATCATTGAAGGTCTGTGCTTAGAGACATCTCTAAGTGAGGAGCTGCATCACAAAAGGCTACTAAGTTTTGTTTGAAGAAATCAGCTATCGTGGAGGGCAGACCCTTTTTTTGAGGCATAGGGTATGTGTCAATCAAAGGATAAATGTGCAAAGTAAAACTTGTTTGTTCTGAAAGGTGCCACAAAGCTCTTTGTTGTTTTAGAGGACCTCTTTCAGCCAAAAGCAGACATGAAATGTCCAATATCAGTGAACCCAAGACGCACCCTTAAATGGGGTCAGACCAAAAGTGGACATAGGCCAGTTTACACATCAAGTAGACCATTTCCTCTGGGAAGCCCACAAGTCAGTGCATGAGGACCATGGAATCCTCTTTGTAACTTGCATAAACAGCTTATGTTTCCCTGTTATACACACACGTGCAATGACATCAGTAATCTATTATTCACCTCTTTTTTTAAAAAAAACTTCCGTTTTTCTTCCTCTTCAGTGACCTAATGCAGAAACCTTTCCCCAAGAATTCAGCCAAAGGGGAGGTATGGAAAGAATTTTTTTCCCCACTTTTGTTCAAATTTGGCAACTAGACTCTGCTTCCGGGGGGGGGGGGGAACAGAACAAAGTTCCAGCAACAGAAGTTTGAGAACTAGCAGCCTTTAGTGGAGGTGAGGGGATATTTCTGCATTTCTAAAGCTAATGATTTCTCAGATGTTTGTCAGAATGGGAGAGCTAAAGGTGCGAGTTGAAATCATGGAATATTGCCCAGTGAGTATGTCTGTCTTAAAAAGTTTCATACTCTCAGTAATCCTCACTTGCAACAACTGTACAAAGTGGGCTATTATAGACATTGCCAATGGGAAGGCTGAGCTATTCAGTTTGAAATATATACATGGCCAAATTTTAATATTTATATGGCTAAATAGAAACATGTCTGTCTGCTGTCTGTCTGTCTGTCAGTGTATCTATCTATCTATGTATCAATCCCTTAGGCTGTTGTTTCCCATACAACCACACCTACTCTCATATGGCCATAGATTTGGTACTGGTTATTCCATCATTCACAATTATTCCATAACTAAGCTGGATGAAGCCAAATAACTGCTTTCCCTCAACCTTCTGAAATGAAGTATTTTTGTTTATCATTCTGATCAAAATTCTCAGATGGGTAAAATCTTATTAGACTAAACAGTAAATTCAGAAAATATACAGTGTGTTGAATTCTGCAGAATTTCAGATTCTTCTCGTTTACAAAAATCTGAATCAAGAGGGGTTGTGAAACTGGATCAGACGAAGGTGTACTCTAGTCCATGATCCCTCTGCCTGTAGAAACCAAAACGGATGTGTTCAAGAAGTCTACAGACGGAGCCCTATGGGGGCAAAACAGCCCATGCCTGTCATATTGGCAGTTGTTCGGCCCAGTAAGTAGGGTATTTGGTGATACTGCTGCCTCTCTTTAACCAGCATGACTTAGGTTGGTTGGTTGAGTGCTTGACGCCCACTGTGCTTCATGGGAAAGGAGTTAGGGAAGGGGCAGGGTTAAGGTAGGATTAGGCAAGTAGCATGATTAACCACTTCTGAGTACTGTACTGTATAAGTAGAAAACCTTATGAGGGTCACTGTAAGTTGGAAATGATGAAACTGTGCATAGTTAATACATGTTTGTTGAAAAAAAGTACTGTAAATACCGAAAATAAGCATTGTTTATTGATGAAGTATACAAGAAAACAAAGTAATTCAATCATATATTAACACCAACATTTTTACAACAGCACTTCTGGTGGCATTGATTTCCAAGCATTAACATTATGTTTATTACGTCAGTGTCTGGCTTTTCCCTCCATTGAGCTGAAGATGAATGCATGTTTCTCCTCCCGCCCGTTTCAGTCTTACAACACCTTACGAGGTAGGTCAGGCCAAGAGACAGTGACTCTCCTGAGGTCACCCAGTTGGTCTGATGGCCAAGTGAACATTTGAATTCAGGTCCCCTGCTTCTAAACCCAGGACTACAACTACGGCTCTGCATATGTTTTGTGGAGACATGCTTTCTTTGACTGTCCTGAATGTACACCCCAGTTTCATTAGATTTTAGTATCATGAGACTGGAAGAAAAATCTTCCTCCAGCAATTGGCAGCATTGTTTAAAACTCATTAGATTTGAACCCTGCCAAATCTGCTCTGAGCAACATAAAATAAGCTCAGCCTTACATATTAGATTAGAAATAAATTAAAGATCTAACAACACACTGTATTTAATTATGCACATGGATATGTTTATATCGATGAGACATAAAACCATGTCTTGCTCCC